TCTGAATTTCATTGATCGTTTGTTAAAATAATTAAATAAAATAAGTCGCTGAATTGAAGCACACCTCGCGATGGGCGTTTGTGTAATGGTGCATAGTTCAGCGCGTGGCTTCCTGCAGGGGATTGTGGGAAGTACGCGCTCGACAGCTTGGTGGCCTCTTGGGTTTAACGCTAGCGCTAGGCTAGTCGTCGGCGGGCCGTGTGATCCTGCGCTCGCCCCTCCGGCCCGGCGGCCCGCGCGGTTTAGCGAAGGCCTGCTTGTGCGCGTGTTGCTTCGGGTGAACCTCGTCGTACAGGAAGTCAGCCGTCAGCTCGTCGCCGTTATCGATCTCCAGCTGCGGAGGAACACACACACTTAGCCTACACTTTTACATCACGCTCAACATTTAGTTTAGGTTGTTTAGAATTTGAAATAAAAAATAAATTAATTAAATTTTGAATTAAAATACAAAATATTAATTTAAAATAAATAAACTATTCTTATTCCTTATATATTTAATAAGAATACAAAAAATTAAGATATAAAATCAAATAAAATGATACAAATAATTTTAAATAATAAAAATATACTATTTTATTTAATACTTTTTATTTCTAATTTAATTAGAATTATTAAAAAAATTAAACATTATTTTAGGATCATTTTAATATATGTATTATATTATGTATTAAAATGATCCTAAAATAGTTTTATTTTGTAAATTCATTTTAATGTAATTTGAATTAATATTTTATATATATAGTAATTCAAATGAAAAAATAAATAAGTAAAATCACATACAAATTATAATTATAATATAATTTATTTTATATAAATAAAATTATAAAAATAATTTAAAATACAAATATAGGATTTAATTAGGAATAAAATCATGTTAGCATCATTTTAAATGTTTTAAAACAATAATAGGATTATATATATATATATATATATATATATACATATATATTAGGGGTGTAACGATACACGTATTCGTATTGAACCGTTCGGTACGAGGCTTTCGGTTCGGTTTTCGGTACGCATTTTTGAACCGAACCATTGGACCATTGGACCATTTTTCCTGCCGACCAAAATTTTACATCGGTTTTATTTTGACAATATGAATACAATTGCTGCCCTCAAATGTTAATCTGAACTAAAATAAACCTTTGTTTATAACTACTACAATATTACATTTCATTTTGTCGAAGGAGCTGTTTTGTTTTATATGCTCCTAAGAAAAGTCAAGTATAGCTCCATCATTGCTCAAAGTAAAAAAAATATCATACTTTATGATGTTAGTTTTAATAAAAATATAATTAAAAAAATTTAATCAAGGAAATTTCTCTGGCATTTCTTTCTTTTTGCTGTATCGGAAACGTACCGAATCGTACCGAACCGTGACACAAGTGTATTGTATCGAACCGAACCGTGAATTTTGTGAACCGTTACACCCCTAATATATATATATAAAATAATAAATATAAAAATTTTGTATTCCTAATATAAGAAATAAAATAAGAAGTAAAAGCAAATAAAATTAGAACAGAAATTATTAAAAAATAATTTAAAATATTGATACATAATTTTTTGGTATAACCAGGATTAAAACTATTTTAGGATACCTAAAAAAAAATTAAACATAATAAATATAAACTATTCATATTTCTAATATCAAAATTAATTTTGTTATCACTTCACAATAAGATTTCAATTTGAAAAAGAAATGAAGTAATTTGATAATTATTAACAAATGCTCCTGTTTAACCCCAGAAGTGCTGTATGGAGGAGAGAGCGCACACACACCTTCTTCTCCACCTCCATGTGCAGTGTGTTCTCCACCATGTCCAGCAGAGGGTTCTTGCAGCTGGAGTACAGCATGCGCTCGCGGATCCCACAGCTGTAGCCCGGCATGGAGTAGATGAACACTGAGGAAACACGTCACTGATCACAGATCTGCAGGACAAGCTGACGAACACTCACGCCGCTCACATGTTAATGTTATAAATGTGGTGACGGTGTTGTAATCACAGTAGTTGTGCTTGGAGTCGATGTTTTATTTGTGATGATAATAACGCAATGGAACATGACAAATTGTGCTGACATAATTTTGGCTGGACTGTCATACAAAGAAATTATGGACCAAAAAAAAACAAATTAAATATTAGTAACTGATTATGTTTGCTTTTTCCTGTTAGCTTTTTTTTTTTTTTTTTTGCATAGTAAAATAAAACTTGTAGCTGTAGTTTGCCTTTTTTTTCGCAAAAGAATTTTGTCAGATAAATACCTCAATCAAATTTAGTGTTTTGTTTTTCGTTCACATTTAAATTATATATATATAAAAAATAAAAAATATAACAATACTTAACGATAACTATAACGAAAACTATAACAATACTTAACGATAACTATAACAATACTTAACGAAAACTATAACAATACTTAACGATAACTATAACGAAAACTATAACAATACTTAACGAAAACTATAACAATACTTAACGATAACTATAACGAAAACTATAACAATACTTAACGAAAACTATAACAATACTTAACGATAACTATAACGAAAACTATAACAATACTTAACGAAAACTATAACAATACTTAACGAAAACTATAACAATACTTAACGATAACTATAACGAAAACTATAACAATACTTAACGATAATTATAACAATACTTAACGATAACTATAACTAAAACTATAACAATACTTAACGATAACTATAACGAAAACTATAACAATACTTAATGATAACTATAACTAACTAACATTAACTTTACGATAACGCTAACTATATTAGCGTCCACACCAGCGCATGATATCGTTCTGTTTATTAAAAGCGCTGCAGTTTTTGTCGTCTGTCGCTTTATATTTTAAATTCTTTAAAGCAGGGCCGATTCTGATTGGCTCTCAATGTTTTATCGTTCATCATCTGGAAGTGATTCCAGTGACACTGTTTCTCGGTGCCGTTATCGTTATAGTTGTGCTGTGCTTTTATATGTAGAACGATTTTTAGAAAGATATCGTCATCGCTATAGCTATAGCTATCGTCCCTGATGTGAACGAGGAAATGGTTTAGTTTCACACTCAGTCGCGAGGTAAGCACCTGCAGACTCCAGGTAGTCGCCCTCGTGCGAGTGTTTGTAGCGGAAGAAGTGGTATCGCGCCGCGTCTTTCGGGATCCTGCGGGGCAAGTCCTTCAGCTCCGTGGCGTCCGTGTTCGACAGCATGATCAGCTCCTGCTCGAAGTTGATGATCTGTGGAGACAATATCAATTATCAACCACAAAACTCTCTCTCTTTACTGTGGATAACTGCTGAATGAACACGTGTGTGTGTGTGTGTGTGTGTGTGTGTGTGTGTGTGTGTGTGTGTGTGTGTGTGTGTGTGTGTGTGTGTGTGTGTGTCTCACCAGCTGAACATAGTTGACTTTCTTGTCCTTGAACTTCTGTAACGCGGTTACGGCCTCTCCGTCCAGAGGGAACGCCACGCCCTGAAGAGTCTGCTTAGTAGTGTTCACGTGAATATCTGTCTGGATCTGCACACACACACACACGCACGCACACACACACAGACACACACACACACATAGACACACAGACACACGCACACACAGACACGCACACACACAGACACAAACAGACACACACACACACACACACACACACACGCACACACAGACACACGCACACACACACACACACACACACAGACACACGCACACACAGACACGCACACACACAGACACAAACAGACACACACACACACACAGACACACGCACACACAGACACACACACACACACACACAGACACGCACACACAGACACACGCACACACAGACACGCACACACACAGACACAAACAGACAGACACACACACACACAGACACACGCACACACACAGACATACGCACACACAGACACACGCACACACAGACACGCACACACACAGACACACACACACACACACACAGGCACACACACACAGACACACACACAGACACAAACAGACACACACACACACACATGCACACATAGACACACAGACACACGCACACACACACACAGACACACACACACACACACACACGCACGCACACACAGACACAAACAGACACACACACACACACACACACACACACGCACACACACACACGCACACACAGACACACGCACACACAGACACGCACACACACAGACACAAACAGACAGACACACACACACACAGACACACGCACACACACAGACATACGCACACACAGACACACGCACACACAGACACGCACACACACACAGACACACACACACACACACACACACACACACACACACACACACACACAGACACACACACAGACACAAACAGACACACACACACACACACACGCATGCACACATAGACACACAGACACACGCACACACACACACAGACACACACACACACACACACACGCACGCACACACAGACACAAACAGACACACACACACACACACAGACACACGCACACACACACACACAGACACACGCACACACAGACACGCACACACACAGACACAAACAGACACACACACACACGCATGCACACATAGACACACAGACACACGCACACACAGACACAGACACACAAAAACACACACACACACACACACACACACACACACACACACACACAGCGACTGATTAATAACATTCATTCACATGCATTTTTCCAAAGCGACTTCCATTGTAAATACATTTGATCAGTTCATGCATTCGTCTGGATAATAAACACACATGCAGTGAAAAATAACATTCAGGTTCATTTAGTGTGTGTGTGTGTGTGTGTGTGTGTGTCTCGCTTCATGTCACGGGGTTATGTCCAGCCATCATCTGTTCTCAACTCTGCAGTCAATTATACACATTAAACACTTAGATGGCATTTAAAAAATAATAATATATAATATTATAATAGAAATAAAATGTCAAATTAGAAAAATAATGATAAAAATAATAATATTACTACATGATTTTTATTCCTAATTTAATTTTTAATAGTGTATATTTCCAAAGTAACAGTACAATTTTTTTCAAAATACTGCTGTAATTTACTGTACGTATATAAAGGTCATTTACTCAGCGCTGTCAGCTCTTTATTTAAACCTACAAGAAGGCTTTTTAAGGAAAATGAAACCTCTTCTTCCTGTTTGCGCTGTATTCTGCTCTGATTGGCTGGTTTCAGGAATAGGGCGGGCCAGAGAGTTTCACTTCATGTCCTTATATGGTCGTGAGTTTGGGACTGATGATTCCCTCTCAGAGTCACATGACCAACTCTATCATCAGTATAGTGTCACTCACTTACAAACAGGACATTTTTTTACATTTATTTTTTAAAGACCCTTACAAACATTTAGATAATTATATCATTAGAAAGTTGATGTAAAAGCTCCTTTATTTTTAAATTTAATTTATTGTTAATTATTCAATAAATTGTATTTATAAAGTGTATTAGTAAATGAGTGAGTGAGTGTGTGTGTGTGTGTGTGTGTGTGTGTGTGTGTGTGTGTGTGTGACTGAGTAAGTGTGTGAGTGTGTGTGTGTGAGTGTGTGTGTGACTGAGTAAGTGTGTGAGTGTGTGTGTGTGTGTGTGTACCTCGCTGAGTTTAATCTGTCGCAGTTCCTCCTCGGCTGCTGTCAGTGGTAGAGGGGCCGATTGAGCTGTGACGTGTTTCTTGTATCCGCTCAGAGAAACATCATCCTGACACACAGACCAACACACTTTATACAAGCACATCATATTCTTAAAATCATAAATCTCATGGAAATTAATACTTTTATTCATCATCTTCAGCTTTGGTGAGCAGAAGAGACTCTTTCAACAACAATAAAACATCTCTCAGATTTCAAACTTGTGTATATCTAACTAAATAGCTCCATTGTAAGACACTAGTCTTCATCGGGTGTGTGCATCGAGCCACACACACACACACACACACACACACACACACACACACACCTTGACGGTGCCGAACATCTCGTCTTTAATGTGTGCGAGGCCGAACTCCTTCTTCAGCGTGGCTCTGGTGGCGGCGTACAGCATCTTGTGCCGAACCTGTTAGAAAACAACATGACAGACTGTGAACTCAAGCACACACACACACTCACACACACACACTCACACTCTGGAGACTGACGTGATGATGAAACCAGAAACAGAGATGATTATAATAAACGTATAAAGATGACTGACTATCACTGGCTAATAAGTGATGAAGAGTAAATCTGAACCAGCAAAGCCTTTAGAGACCAAACGTGTGTGAAAATACAACAATACATTATTAATAGAATTATTTTAAATTCTTACAAATATGATTAAATATTTATAATAATATATTTTAAGATTATATGTAAAATAATAATTATTAAATAAATAATTAATAGCCAAATGAATACTATTACAATAATGATAATAATAATTATAAAATATATTATTCATTCTAATTATGTATTTAGTTATTAATTATTTATGTATTAAAAGATAATATATATTATATTTCATAATAATATATTTATATAATATTGGCAAGGCAAGGCATATATTTATAATAATAAACAATAATAATACATAATAAACAATATAATAATAATGAATAATAAACAATATATCATAAAATATATTACTATATAAATATGTAATAATATTTATACAATTCAAACTAACTCCTATAATAATACTACTAAATTAAATATTAGAAAAGTACTAAGAATATTATAAAGTAGTGGGAGAAGTCAGTTTCAGCATCTGGTTCCAGATCAGTGTGTATCAGCTCGACACACAGACATCAGTGACGTGCCTGAACACGCGCGAGAATGTGTGTAAGAATGGGGAAGCTCCTCATTACACTGATCTGAAGAGTGTGTGTCTCGATTCTCCCTCGGTCAGGTGACCAGGCGATGAAGAGTGTGATGTGCAGTGATGTCTTACGGGCGAGTGGTCAGGTGACCAGGTGATGAAGAGTGTGATGTGCAGTGATGTCTTACGGGCGAGTGGTCAGGTGACCAGGCGATGAAGAGTGTGATGTGCAGTGATGTCTTACGGGCGAGTGGTCAGGTGACCAGGTGATGAAGAGTGTGATGTGCAGTGGTGTCTTATGGGCGAGTGGTCAGGTGACCAGGCGATGAAGAGTGTGATGTGCAGTGATGTCTTACGGGCGAGTGGTCAGGTGACCAGGCGATGAAGAGTGTGATGTGCAGTGATGTCTTACGGGCGAGTGGTCAGGTGACCAGGCGATGAAGAGTGTGATGTGCAGTGGTGTCTTACGGGCGAGTGGTCAGGTGACCAGGCGATGAAGAGTGTGATGTGCAGTGATGTCTTACGGGCGAGTGGTCAGGTGACCAGGCGATGAAGACCCACTCGTGACCCAGGCTGTTGCTGGAGTCCAGCCGGAAGAGGATGAAGCTCGGCAGATCTTTCTCCAGCGCCGGCAGAAGCAGACGCTCGTAGTCTTCCTCCCAACTACCAGAGCAGGCTTCAGTCATGCCCAGAACCAGCTCCTCTGCACACACACACACACACACACGTCAATTACTCATAATTCTGGGAATATTGAAGTGTTTATGATTATCAGATACCATTTTCTATCACGATCTTCAGGAGTCTGTACTGTCCGTTCCTGGCGCTGCCGAAGACATCCTTCAGCTCTTCAGCCGCTGAGGACGAGAGAACACACACTCAACAACACACTCACATCACTCATATTACTCTGAGGACGAGAGAACACACACTCAACAACACACTCACACTCATATTACTCTGAGGACGAGAACACACACTCAACAACACACTCACATCACTCATATTACTCTGAGGACGAGAGAACACACACTCAACAACACACTCACATCACTCATATTACTCTGAGGACGAGAGAACACACACTCAACAACACACTCACATCACTCATATTACTCTGAGGACGAGAGAACACACACTCAACAACACACTCACATCACTCATATTACTCTGAGGACGAGAGAACACACACTCAACAACACACTCACATCACTCATATTACTCTGAGGACGAGAGAACACACACTCAACAACACACTCACACTCATATTACTCTGAGGACGAGAGAACACACACTCAACAACACACTCACATCACTCATATTACTCTGAGGACGAGAGAACACACACTCAACAACACACTCACATCACTCATATTACTCTGAGGACGAGAGAACACACACTCAACAACACACTCACATCACTCATATTACTCTGAGGACGAGAGAACACACACTCAACAACACACTCACATCACTCATATTACTCTGAGGACGAGAGAACACACACTCAACAACACACTCACATCACTCATATTACTCTGAGGACGAGAGAACACACAATCAACAACACACTCACATCACTCATATTACTCTGAGGACGAGAGAACACACACTCAACAACACACTCACACTCATATTACTCTGAGGACGAGAGAACACACACTCAACAACACACTCACACTCATATTACTCTGAGGACGAGAGAACACACACTCAACAACACACTCACATCACTCATATTACTCTGAGGACGAGAGAACACACACTCAACAACACACTCACATCACTCATATTACTCTGAGGACGAGAGAACACACACTCAACAACACACTCACACTCATATTACTCTGAGGACGAGAGAACACACACTCAACAACACACTCACATCACTCATATTACTGAGGACGAGAGAACACACACTCAACAACACACTCACATCACTCATATTACTCTGAGGACGAGAGAACACACACTCAACAACACACTCACATCACTCATATTACTCTGAGGACGAGAGAACACACACTCAACAACACACTCACATCACTCATATTACTCTGAGGACGAGAGAACACACACTCAACAACACACTCACATCACTCATATTACTCTGAGGACGAGAGAACACACACTCAACAACACACTCACATCACTCATATTACTCTGAGGACGAGAGAACACACACTCAACAACACACTCACATCACTCATATTACTCTGAGGACGAGAGAACACACACTCAACAACACACTCACATCACTCATATTACTGAGGACGAGAGAACACACACTCAACAACACACTCACATCACTCATATTACTCTGAGGACGAGAGAACACACACTCAACAACACACTCACATCACTCATATTACTCTGAGGACGAGAGAACACACACTCAACAACACACTCACATCACTCATATTACTCTGAGGACGAGAGAACACACACTCAACAACACACTCACATCACTCATATTACTCTGAGGACGAGAGAACACACACTCAACAACACACTCACATCACTCATATTACTCTGAGGACGAGAGAACACACACTCAACAACACACTCACATCACTCATATTACTCTGAGGACGAGAACACACACTCAACAACACACTCACATCACTCATATTACTCTGAGGACGAGAGAACACACACTCAACAACACACTCACACTCATATTACTCTGAGGACGAGAGAACACACACTCAACAACACACTCACATCACTCATATTACTCTGAGGACGAGAACACACACTCAACAACACACTCACATCACTCATATTACTCTGAGGACGAGAGAACACACACTCAACAACACACTCACATCACTCATATTACTCTGAGGACGAGAGAACACACACTCAACAACACACTCACATCACTCATATTACTCTGAGGACGAGAGAACACACAATCAACAACACACTCACATCACTCATATTACTCTGAGGACGAGAGAACACACACTCACACTCATATTACTCTGAGGACGAGAGAACACACACTCAACAACACACTCACATCACTCATATTACTCTGAGGACGAGAGAACACACACTCAACAACACACTCACACTCATATTACTCTGAGGACGAGAACACACACTCAACAACACACTCACATCACTCATATTACTCTGAGGACGAGAGAACACACACTCAACAACACACTCACATCACTCATATTACTCTGAGGACGAGAGAACACACACTCAACAACACACTCACATCACTCATATTACTCTGAGGACGAGAGAACACACACTCAACAACACACTCACACTCATATTACTCTGAGGACGAGAGAACACACACTCAACAACACACTCACATCACTCATATTACTCTGAGGACGAGAGAACACACACTCAACAACACACTCACATCACTCATATTACTCTGAGGACGAGAGAACACACACTCAACAACACACTCACATCACTCATATTACTCTGAGGACGAGAGAACACACACTCAATAACACACTCACACTCATATTACTCTGAGGACGAGAGAACACACACTCAACAACACACTCACATCACTCATATTACTCTGAGGACGAGAGAACACACACTCGACAACACACTCACATCACTCATATTACTCTGAGGACGAGAGAACACACACTCAACAACACACTCACACTCATATTACTCTGAGGACGAGAGAACACACACTCAACAACACACTCACATCACTCATATTACTCTGAGGACGAGAGAACACACACTCAACAACACACTCACATCACTCATATTACTCTGAGGACGAGAGAACACACACTCAACAACACACTCACACTCATATTACTCTGAGGACGAGAGAACACACACTCAACAACACACTCACATCACTCATATTACTCTGAGGACGAGAGAACACACACTCAACAACACACTCACATCACTCATATTACTCCGAGGACGAGAGAACACACACTCAACAACACACTCACATCACTCATATTACTCTGAGGACGAGAGAACACACACTCAATAACACACTCACATCACTCATATTACTCTGAGGACGAGAACACACACTCAACAACACACTCACATCACTCATATTACTCTGAGGACGAGAACACACACTCAACAACACACTCACATCACTCATATTACTCTGAGGACGAGAGAACACACACTCAACAACACACTCACATCACTCATATTACTCTGAGGACGAGAACACACACTCAACAACACACTCACATCACTCATATTACTCTGAGGACGAGAGAACACACACTCAATAACACACTCACATCACTCATATTACTCTGAGGACGAGAACACACACTCAACAACACACTCACATCACTCATATTACTCTGAGGACGAGAGAACACACACTCAACAACACACTCACATCACTCATATTACTCTGAGGACGAGAGAACACACACTCAATAACACACTCACATCACTCATATTACTCTGAGGACGAGAGAACACACACTCAACAACACACTCACATCACTCATATTACTCTGAGGACGAGAACACACACTCAACAACACACTCACATCACTCATATTACTCTGAGGACGAGAACACACACTCAACAACACACTCACATCACTCATATTACTCTGAGGACGAGAACACACACTCAACAACACACTCACATCACTCATATTACTCTGAGGACGAGAACACACACTCAACAACACACTCACATCACTCATATTACTCTGAGGACGAGAACACACACTCAACAACACACTCACATCACTCATATTACTCTGAGGACGAGAGAACACACACTCAACAACACACTCACATCACTCATATTACTCTGAGGACGAGAGAACACACACTCAATAACACACTCACATCACTCATATTACTCTGAGGACGAGAACACACACTCAACAACACACTCACATCACTCATATTACTCTGAGGACGAGAGAACACACACTCAACAACACACTCACATCACTCATATTACTCTGAGGACGAGAGAACACACACTCAACAACACACTCACATCACTCATATTACTCTGAGGACGAGAGAACACACACTCAACAACACACTCACATCACTCATATTACTCTGAGGACGAGAGAACACACACTCAACAACACACTCACATCACTCATATTACTCTGAGGACGAGAGAACACACACTCAACAACACACTCACATCACTCATATTACTCTGAGGACGAGAGAACACACACTCAACAACACACTCACATCACTCATATTACTCTGAGGACGAGAGAACACACACTCAACAACACACTCACATCACTCATATTACTCTGAGGACGAGAGAACACACACTCAACAACACACTCACATCACTCATATTACTCTGAGGACGAGAGAACACACACTCAACAACACACTCACATCACTCATATTACTCTGAGGACGAGAACACACACTCAACAACACACTCACATCACTCATATTACTCTGAGGACGAGAACACACACTCAACAACACACTCACATCACTCATATTACTCTGAGGACGAGAGAACACACACTCAACAACACACTCACATCACTCATATTACTCTGAGGACGAGAGAACACACACTCAACAACACACTCACATCACTCATATTACTCTGAGGACGAGAGAACACACACTCAACAACACACTCACATCACTCATATTACTCTGAGGACGAGAGAACACACACTCAACAACACACTCACATCACTCATATTACTCTGAGGACGAGAGAACACACACTCAACAACACACTCACATCACTCATATTACTCTGAGGACGAGAACACACACTCAACAACACACACACATCACTCATATTACTCTGAGGACGAGAGAACACACACTCAACAACACACTCACATCACTCATATTACTCTGAGGACGAGAACACACACTCAACAACACACTCACATCACTCATATTACTCTGAGGACGAGAACACACACTCAACAACACACTCACATCACTCATATTACTCTGAGGACGAGAGAACACACACTCAACAACACACTCACATCACTCATATTACTCTGAGGACGAGAACACACACTCAACAACACACACACATCACTCATATTACTCTGAGGACGAGAGAACACACACTCAACAACACACTCACATCACTCATATTACTCTGAGGACGAGAGAACACACACTCAACAACACACTCACATCACTCATATTACTCTGAGGACGAGAGAACACACACTCAACAACACACTCACATCACTCATATTACTCTGAGGACGAGAACACACACTCAACAACACACTCACATCACTCATATTACTCTGAGGACGAGAGAACACACACTCAACAACACACTCACATCACTCATATTACTCTGAGGACGAGAACACACACTCAACAACACACTCACATCACTCATATTACTCTGAGGACGAGAGAACACACTCAACAACACACTCACATCACTCATATTACTCTGAGGACGAGAGAACACACACTCAACAACACACTCACATCACTCATATTACTCTGAGGACGAGAGAACACACACTCAACAACACACTCACATCACTCATATTACTCTGAGGATGAGAGAACACACACTCAACAACACACTCACATCACTCATATTACTCTGAGGACGAGAACACACACTCAACAACACACTCACATCACTCATATTACTCTGAGGACGAGAACACACACTCAACAACACACTCACATCACTCATATTACTCTGAGGACGAGAACACACACTCAACAACACACTCACATCACTCATATTACTCTGAGGACGAGAACACACACTCAACAACACACTCACATCACTCATATTACTCTGAGGACGAGAGAACACACACTCAACAACACACACACATCACTCATATTACTCTGAGGACGAGAGAACACACACTCAACAACACACTCACATCACTCATATTACTCTGAGGACGAGAGAACACACACTCAACAACACACTCACATCACTCATATTACTCTGAGGACGAGAACACACACTCAACAACACACTCACATCACTCATATTACTCTGAGGACGAGAACACACACTCAACAACACACTCACATCACTCATATTACTCTGAGGACGAGAGAACACACACTCAACAACACACACACATCACTCATATTACTCTGAGGACGAGAGAACACACACTCAACAACACACTCACATCACTCATATTACTCTGAGGACGAGAGAACACACACTCAACAACACACTCACATCACTCATATTACTCTGAGGACGAGAGAACACACACTCAACAACACACTCACATCACTCATATTACTCTGAGGACGAGAGAACACACACTCAACAACACACTCACATCACTCATATTACTCTGAGGACGAGAGAACACACACTCAACAACACACTCACATCACTCATATTACTCTGAGGACGAGAACACACACTCAACAACACACTCACATCACTCATATTACTCTGAGGACGAGAGAACACACACTCAACAACACACTCACATCACTCATATTACTCTGAGGACGAGAACACACACTCAACAACACACTCACATCACTCATATTACTCTGAGGACGAGAACACACACTCAACAACACACTCACATCACTCATATTACTCTGAGGACGAGAGAACACACACTCAACAACACACTCACATCACTCATATTACTCTGAGGACGAGAACACACACTCAACAACACACTCACATCACTCATATTACTCTGAGGACGAGAACACACACTCAACAACACACTCACATCACTCATATTACTCTGAGGACGAGAACACACACTCAACAACACACTCACATCACTCATATTACTCTGAGGACGAGAACACACACTCAACAACACACTCACATCACTCATATTACTCTGAGGACTGTAACCATGAAAACAAACAATCTTTATTCTTTATTAGTCAGAAACAGAGAGAACGTGTTTTCAGACACTGTGACTGATCATTATTTCATATAAACTGTTATTATTTCATATATGATAATAATAGATGATGATGATGATTGAGGTATTGACTATTGAGATAATATTATAATTTACTATTATTAGAATACGTTTTATTTTATACGTTACTTTAATATACATACATACTTTTTATATTATATATATTATACATTTATACATACTTTTTGTCATAATTAGGCCTATGAGTTATGTCATACTTTTTACTTTTCATCTCTTAAGTATGACTAAGAATGTCTTAATTTCGACCTTTTATGTCCTAATTGACTTTTTTCTCTGTTATGACTGTTATGTTGACTTAAGCTAAAAATGACTTACTGTTACAGTTTTAACTTTTTTCTCATAAATATTACTTTTAATGTCATGATTTAGACTTTTTATCTCATAAATATGTCATAATTCTGCCTTTTTATGTCATAATTTCAATAAATATGACAGTATGTCATAATTTCTCCTTTTTATGTCCTAATTCCTACGTTTTATGTCATATCATGAATTGTATGTCATAGTTATGATTTACAAAAAGCATGTTTTATTTCCTGATGAGGCGGAATGGGTTAAACTAACAGTAAGTGTGATGAGGATGTATATTTCAGTATGTTGATATACAGTATGATGATGATATACAGTATGGTGATATTATTATAGGCTGCATATGGCGCGTGAGCGCGCGCGCTGAAGGCGTTGCCCGTGCTCGAGATCACTGAAGCAAAACTCTGCCCATCTTTAAACACTCATACGATAAATAAATCATCAAGATGAAATTATTCATAACGCTGAGATCTGAGGGAAACCACTGCTGGCCGACAGACGCGGTTTATTCACATTTTCTTTGATTTCTCTAAGTGAATCTCGGCGCTAAGTGAGTATGTCGCCGCTCATGCATTATCATCATACAGATTCAGATTTATAAATCATAAAAAAAATTCTCACTCTTACCCTGAATACCCGTTTGATGAGACATTATTTCACTCGGCGGATGATGTTTGGTGACTCTCAATCCCGGAAGAAGGAAGCAGAGCAGCGGTGACGTCACGTGTCTCTGACGCGTCGACCCTCCCTCCGCACTGCGCATGCGCAGACATCATTTTCACTTCTCATTTTTTTGTGTAGAAATACTTTATGTTAGAAATGTTTATTAATACTTCTATGTATATAGCTATTTCGTTTTGTTCTCGTATCTTTATATACTATACCACCTGAAATGCATATTGTGTCTTTGAATATTAAATCATTCAACAACAACAAAAAAAGAGAAAAAAAAAGAATCATTGATGGAAACTTCAATTCCTGCTGTAAAGCAGCTTTATAGAAGTAAACAGTGTCATTATTCAGCTCAATTCAGTTCAGGCTTTTTGTTTTAATCCAATAGTGTCAGTACAATCAGAGCTATAATATTCTGTAATGTATAATTACATAACTGTAACTAATGTTCTAAATATTAATTGTCTTATATTTATTCGAAAATTGCCCTATCCCTCGATATTTAAATAAATAAATACACACATTTGTTTATATAGTCCTTTATTCAATACGCTTTATTCACTGTAAAAAAATATATTGTTGCAAATATTATCAGTATAGTTATTTATTAATATTATTGAGAAAAATATTATTATTAGAGAGAGAGAGTGAGATGTCTGTCTCCATGTTGTGGTCTCTGTGTTTTGCTCATGATGATTATGATGTTTTGTTTCTGCTTCTGTAATCGCATGTGGCGCGCGGACGCTTTGAATGACGCGCGTGAAATCAGACGCGTTGAACGAGCGGCGCGCGAAGGATTATCATCATCATCATCATCATCACTGATGTCGGAAGGAAAGCACTGATATGGCGATGGGATCTGAATCTGAATCTGAATCTCCGCACGACTGTCTGCGTAAGACTCTTTACATGTGTTAAGATCATCTCTCTGTGTGTGTGTGTGTGTGTGTGTGTGTGTGTGTGTGTGTGTGTGTGTGTGTGTGTCGCTCATGGAACATGCTGGAAAACTGTGTGTTGCTCCTGCTTTGATCCCGACGCACGTGCTGAGGTTAATGAGCGGCTCCCATTTACACTCATCCACCTTTATTCATTGCATATTATGTGCACGCGTCATGCAAAGATATCATACGTGCCTATTATTTTGTTGCTGAGATTGATTGTTTTGACATGTGATTTTTGTTGTTTAAGGGAAGAGTTTCAGCGTTGCACAAGAAGCCATGAATGTAAACATAACCAAAACACACACACACACACTTACCGAGAGATAGATAGATAGATAGATAGATAGATAGACAGACAGACAGACAGACAGACAGACAGACAGACAGACAGACAGACAGACAGATAGATAGATAGATATATTATTTACTGTATATGAAATATTTACTTAAATAGACATTATATTCTTATATATTTTGACATTTGGTGAAAACATGGACATTTGGACACACACACACACACACACACACACACACACACACACACACACACACACACAGGCTAAATGAGTCCAGCAGCACATGGTTTCTGAGCAGGCGGTTATTCCAGAACTCTTGCATCATCATCGCACGCTCATGTCAGATATTATTAGCCATTGAGCATTTGTGTGAAATGTCTGTCTGAATGTTTGCTTTGTTTGTCTGTCTGTCTGTCTGTCTGTATTTGTGGTTGTCTGTCTGTCTGTATTTGTGGTTGTCTGTCTGTCTGTATTTGTGTTTGTCTGTCTGTCTCTGTATTTGTGTTTGTCTGTATGTTT